ACGACCACGACCACGACCACGACCACGACCACGACCACGACCACGACGGCGGCAACGACGACGACGACTACTACTACTACCACGACGACGACCACGACCACCACCACCACAACAACAACACAATCACAAGCACAATCACAAACACACAACCACAGCCAGCAGCAGAGGCTGCTTCAGAGACCATCAGTCAGGCGGAAGCGATGGGAATGTGTTTGATTGGCTGCCGTTGTATGTTCAAGATGCTTGGCAAGTGCTAGCCCGGGCCATGCTGCATGATTTGTGCGGTCCATGGCAACATGCTCCTCACCATGGTATGAAAGCAAATCGTATAAAATCATATCAAATCATTGAAGTGTGATGGTTGTGAGCATTCGAAGTAGAGTATTTAGAATACAGCAAGGATGTGAAACAACCTCTAGACTCTAGGCAGCCGTATCAAGGAAAACTCAGAGCTCGTGGGTCACTGTCCGCTAAGACGCGCATTCTTGAGTTCAGGAGAAAGATGTGCAACGGGTGACTGAGAATGACGAGACTAGAGACGTTCACACACGTGTGCTGGAAGTGTACGACCCAGGATAGATGCCAGCAACTCCCCGACAGCTAGATGATATGCCTTTGCAGACATGTCATGTCAAGGTCATTGAACTGCCAGTCCCGCATGCCATTTGCTCAGATATGTTCCGACATGCTATTTACTTTAAAAAAACATTTGTCATCCATTTCTGAAGTGAGGTGACTGGTGAGAGGCGACGATAGCCACAACTCCCCCGTCAAGTGCGGTGCTTCGATCCAAAGGATGGTGATGGAGCACTTCCGAATCGGCGAAGGAGGAGATGTTAGACGTTTGGAAAGAGAACGTAACTTACACTCTTAGACATAGACAGAATTGGAGGCAGTGGCTCAGAAAAAGAATGTACCGCACAGCTATCCAAAATTGAATCAATTCTACTACAGGCAGTCTCCGGCACCAACATTTTCGAACACTTCTTGAGCTTCGTATGTCACAACAATTCGCTGCGTTTGAAGGCTTGTGGCTCCTAGGGAAAAGGAAGTTGAACGCTTCGGGCAGGGTTTGAACCTTCGGCCCTATTGTAGTAACGTGGCCGAGGGCTGAAATCTTGGAAGTGTCAGGTGGAAGCCCTGATTCCTGACATGCCCATTTTGTTTCAGCATGTTTGGCTCTCAGGTCTCAAATGCCTCAGCCTGATGGAAGCTTGACACCGCGATGGCCAGAGCCTTGCTATGGGCCATGGGTCAAAAGCTGTTGACGACTGAGTTAATCAATCCACACAGTTGGCCCAAAGGGAGAAAGGTTTTCTGATATGTATCCTTCATGATTCCTCATGTCAAGTTTGGCTGTGTTTTTGAGGCTTGGAACCATTCCCAGCCTTGGCAGCTGACGCCTCATTTTGACAATTGGATTGCACAGTTAATGTGTAATATAGTGACGTGACTAGTATAATTGAAATACATGACATGGATACTGGATACTTGAACTACCAATGAGGCGTGTATAAGCACGTTGTTTCATGCTGATGCAGCTGATGCATGCTTTAGCAAACGAATCAGTGCTTTTCGGGTGCAAAAGCATGCAAAAGCAACTTCGTGATGCACCTGCAGAGCACCTGCGGAGCACTGTGCCTTAGGCTTGTTAGGCCTCACAGAGCCAGAGGAGCTCCTGATGTGCCGATTCAATTCTGAGTTACTGATCCACTGTTTGGCAGCAATTCTAGATGCTCAAGACTTACAAAAGGAAAGGCGTGTGGTGTTCGCAGATACAGTTTTGGATCCACTGCCATATTTGCGCCTTACTTTCCACAATCTGGGATCTAGGACTTGACTTGCGAAGAAACATTGTGTCCATTCTTTGCCATGTCGAAACCTCGATCTCATGGTCTCAAGCTTGAGGAGGTCAGCAGTTCATTTCTCTTCCGCGTTGTGGCCTTTTTGAGGGTTCAGAAGTGTTTCACAGTTGGGCAAATGATTGTTGTAAGACTATGTATAATTATTAATATATGTATAATTTTATATGATATTATATAATTGAGACGCAACTTCATGGTTTTCGTGAGATGTATCGAACCGACCAAGGCTGGAGAATTTGTGGATTATTACAGCTCATCTACAGCATCCTGGATTCCTGCAAAGGCAGGATCAACGCTTGAGCTTTAACTTGAGCTCCTCTTGCGGTTCTTGCTGTTGTAGACTAGCTTTTGGGTTACAGTAAGTGGCTTCAACTGCATCACCACCCACACCCGTGGCGGCGCATTGAGGGCTTTTGTTGGGGCGTACCCAGCCGTTCTGTACCTGATGAGGTTGGCCTTTTCTAGGCCTTTGGCTCTCTGGTCTGGATTCCAGATCAATTTGTCCTCCCTCCCACCTTCGGTGTCAGTACTACCAGCAAGAAAAACTGTCAGCCTGTGAAAAGATGGGAAACGAGAGAGGCTACCTTGGTGAGTCTATTGTTTGGTGCAGGCAGTAGATTGCATACATGGCGTGTTTGTTAGTATCCTCGATGATGGTTTTTGCCTGTGTTTGAATATACTTGTATACTTCTAGAATGTTGAATTCACGACAGAATAACATAGAATAACAACGGTTCAAAGGCTGCTACTGTTCCTTCGAGGTTCTAGCTCAACGTGCCGATGGCTTGTACGACTTGGACTGCAAGACTGGGGTTGTGAAGCCCAGCGCTAGAGACATGTGCGACACGTGCTGCTGATGGCAGGAAGCACTTGGCGTTTTTGAAACTGAGTTGTTTTATCAACTGAGGTGCCCCCGACAAAAGTTCGGGCTGCCACTTTCAGCAAGCCAGAGTATGAGGCCGGACAAATGTAGGCAGGCGTTCCTCCATCAAAGTTCTCGTAGCTGAAGTCCAAATTTTGACACCCACATGTATGTTGCTATTGTAGATTACAGTATGTATCAGCTAAGACAAGACACAATAGTAAAAGCATCTGGTGGTATTGCAGCTTCTCATCTACAGGAAGACCTCAGCCAAACCGGTGGTAGCGACCTTCATGATGATCTGGTTGCCTGAATTGCCTCATGTACTTGTGCTTTTGATAGGTCGGTGCAATAGTTGAGTTCTATAGCTCAACAGCTGGCCGAAAGCTTGATTTCACACCGTATGGCAGTATGGTGTCCTAAGCTCGTAGCTTTGCATGTCACAGCCTTGAGGTCTATGGCTGCCAGCAACCGTGAAGATGTACAACGGCATTGCTGGTCCTTTGCCTTAAGAGAACTTCTGCGTACCTATGAATGGGCTAGTGTTGTGCACCAAACAAAGGTACATATGACTTGGATTGCAAATTAAGCGTACAGCCCGACAGGACTTCGACCGCAAGACGGACTCGACAAAATGTTGTTCATAGCCTTTACATCACAAATCATCACAAATGAGGCTTTCAACATGTATGTATTATGATACATAATTGTTTTATGTAAGACACATACATGTAGGTGTTCGCACATTTCTTCACTTCTTGGAAAGCTGTTGACCTAGTTTGGTCTGAAAATTGCAGGATTCGCCTGCCAGCTGCTCGCACCCGTGCACCAAGTAGAGACGAAGAGCTCAAGGCATGTCGATACACTTACAACACTCAAATCTGACTAGTAGCGTTACACTTGCTCCTAGGAGCAAAGGACATCGCTACTAGGAGCAAGGACGCTCCTAGGGGCTCCTGGCCATACTACTAGGAACAATATAGCTACTAGTATCAAATCTGACTAGTCTGACGACTACCAAGTGTGGCAGGAAGAAAGCGCAGAGGACGCTGTGGAGGAATCAGGCGGCTCCTCCAGTAGCATGCGCCCCTTGCCAATGCAACCACAACAGGCCAGATCCGAGAGTTTTGTTTGATGTTGTTTGAGCATTTGACTAAACAAGCAAGAGCGCCATGGTAACCATGGGCAGAAACAGTGGTCATTTGTTTTTTATTGCCGCCGTGCCAAACCATGTGAGGAAGGGCCACGTCAATTGATCCGTGTTACCCGTTGGTCTCTCAAGCTTTCAAATTGGAGCAATGTGCAACTCAACTACATGAATTTTGTCTTTGATGCAAAGCGACTGAACGTTGCAAGACACAACACACCAAAAAAAAACAAAAAACACATTTTGTTCAGAAACACAGTGCAACGTTGCGTAAAGAAACAGAAGTTCAAGCAGCAAAAACTCAGAATAAGCTGTTGCCATCACCTTTGTTCATCTCCTTTATTTGTAGAGGCACCGTGCTTTTCTTCTTGTGTCTCAAGGACGGGGCACCTCTTGGCATTTCGAGCTTTGCGAGGATACCATGAAGGCCTGGCATGGACTCAAGTCAATCCTTTTCCGCGCACGGCGGCCCTGAGGTGTTGGAGTTCATGGGCCAGAAATGTATCTCAGTGTGTACAGCCCATGGCCCAGCACCAGCCACCAATGCATAACGCACTATAACTACGCCATAGCAGTCAGTCACTGCAAGTCCTTTGACTCCCAAAAAAGATACGACTGGTGCTGTAGCTGAGGTTTGCGGTCCTTACCGTGCGCTCGAGTCAGACACCTTTGGAATGAATGTTTGAATATAATTTGCATGTGACAGGCACAGGTAAGAGCTACCTTCTGAATCTCCTCCTTGGGCCTGGGCCTTAGGTTCAACATGGCTCAACCAATGTTAGCTTTTGCTATGCTTGAAAAGATTACCAATGTAGCTATGAATCACTTGCTGCCAAAAGCTGGAGGCGCGTACAGAATGGCTACCGACAGTTTCGCTGGGCCCTCGGCTCCGGACCAAAACGCACCCCTTCATTCCCTTCATGTGGGTTTTAGATGGATTTGGTGTTGGTCTTAGATAGAACTACCCCGTGCTACCACTTTTCACCTTGGTTTATTGCCTGGAGGCCTTGGCCTTTCTTCCCTTTTATTTTGTTTTTTCAAAATAGTCAACACTTGCTACATTCACATCCGCATTCCAGGTGTCGGTTCAAGTACCCAAGCCTGCTCTGCACTTAGCCAAAACCCACCAACCCAAATAGAACACAGAACTCGACATGGTTGCGGGGTTCTAGGTCTTGACCCCACAACATGAGAAGGCTCAATGGTTTATCAAGTGTGGTTCCAGCATGGAACGGAGGTACAGACGGCTTGTGGATGTGGGGGTTCAGCAATGCACAAGGCCGTCCAAAGCAAAGAACAGCAATACTTCACTTTCAACAACAATGTTGCAATGTGAAGGTGGTGTTGACAGCCCCAATGTGCTTTTCTTGGTCCGCATCTCAGCCTCAACCACCCTGCTAGTAGGGCACCGAGACTGCCGAGACTCCACTGACCAAGGACTGTGAAGGCTTTGGCAGCACAGACTCTGACAAAACCAGAGATGCCAAGCTCATGTCGCTTTGCATGCTGCTTCTTGGTTGCACCAATTGGCACCAATGTGCCACAAATGGGCACCTAGCCGTTGCAGATTTGCTGTCAGTACTGTAGCTTGAACTATAGGCTATAGGCTATCAATTCATTCTCTTTGGCAAAAGCAGGTGAGAGTCTCTCCCACGGGAAGAAATCTTTGTCAGTCTACTCTCAGAAGTTTGGTCTTTAGTTCTCAAGCTCTTGTGAAGGACTAGGAGGCTTGGCGGTGGGTGTTGGGTAAATTTTGGGTGAGTGGCTCTTGAGAAGCTTCTGGTAGGATGCCATCCCAGGCTTTCTTCCGTTTTTTTTGCTCAACACCAAGGCGGCGGCCAGCAATGCTGTTTGATCAATTCACTGATAAATCAAAGTCCAAAGTGTGGGTCGTTGTTGGCACTCTACCAACACCTTACAACCGAGCAAGATAGATGCATCCCACGCGAGACATTCGAAGCAGCTGGTATCAGAATTTGGGCACAACAACGTACCTGTGCAGCTCCAGATCCATGTTTGTCTGCCAGGGTGTCCTGAGCGAAGGTCTTTTCAACGCGCTATCATTGGTTTGCAGCCTGGCTACTTATGTGGAGCAGGGGCAGGATACCAGCAAGCCCGCACTTCTGCAACTTGGCGATTAAACTAAAGACATGGGGTTCCTGTTTAGCTGGGTTGCCAGCAAGCTCAATGTGGGCAATAAGTCTTAGTTTTTCTGACCGCTGAGTTTGGTGCAGGTGGCTCTTGCGAGATTTCCTGTTGGAACTCGTTGATGAAAAGGGCCGCAGAATGACACCTGATGAGTCGCCCCCTTAATTTCAGTGGTGTCTCTATTCGCGAGAGCACCAGAGTCCAGCTGTCACCCATGTTTTGCAAGTCTTTTGCAAGTCACTGAAAGCAAAAAAGAACACCTTCTTGTCATTTGGAGGTACTTAGAATCCTCTCTTCGCAAAACTCCTCGAGACGCAGTGGAAAGTCAGCGATCACAAGCTGTTGCTGCCTTATTGTCCAGATGGGCGGTGATCAAGATGCATCCCCAAGAGGGCCATCATACTCTGAGAGCCAGTCTCACCCTTGAACAACTGAGGATTCTTGTATGTATTCACATACTTGTTGACACAGCTTATTTTTGCAGGTTGTGCAAATGCTTTCTTCAAAACCCGTTGGCTTTTGAGGCTAGAGAGGTTCGAGAGACTTTGCTGCAGCGCCTCTACTCAAAGCGAAGTGTGATGTTGTCGGTGAGCCATGGCTTTTCTCTGGCCAGGTCTTTTCCAGATCGTCGCTGCGTTACTCTTTGCCAGCCGGTTATTGCTTGGGCCGGCGTGTTTAGACTCATATATGAGAGTCGACCGAAGCCCCCGAAACAGAAATTTAGACCAAACGCAAATGTGAAAATCAGACCTTACATGTTCATGCATTTTTCTGTGGTGAGCGCAAGTTCATGATGTAGACTATTTGTAGATTGAAATGCAGGTGCATGTATAATCATGTATATGAGATGAATGGGACAACCTTGGAGATTCTATAATTTTGTAGCTATTTGGCTGGCAAAGGCTCAAGGATGATTGCAGCTATATTCTTCAATGTCCCTTAATTTCCGTCACGTGAGAATTTTGTTTTTGGCGGTGAAATGCATGCATACTGTATATGTTCCGCAAGGTAAACACAAGCTAGGCTCAAGGTCAGCAGTGCCATGTGACCTGTGGCCCACTTTAGGGGAAAACTTTAACACGTGGAAGCTGCGTAAACCAATCAGAAAACCAAAGGAGCAGGCTTCAGGCGATGGATCTTGACTGCCAAATATGTCCGTGACCTTCGAAGTGGCATCCGAGATTGGCTGATGCAAAAACTAAAGAAGGCTTTGGAGCCACGGGCAGAAGAGGAAGTCCCGCGAAGATTGAAAAACGTAGCCTGACAGGGCCTGGAGCATATCCATTGTCAAACAACTGCCGGCTAACTAAAAAAAGCAAAGAATCTCAAAAAGTGGCAGAACATGTGGGCGCGCAAGCAGGCGCAAGAGCGAGGCAAGGGAATTTTTATATGGTGATTGGAACTTAGGTTTTTGCAAGCCCGTATATATATATATATCACTGATCTCTCTAGAGTGTGTGTGTGTGTGTGTCTTCAAATCTTATATCAGGATGAGGAACAGCTGCGGCAACTGTCTGAGGCGAGAGGACACAACGCGACTGTCAGTTGTCACTGCAATTTGCTGCTGTTGCTTTTTCTTCCGTGTTCCCAAGAGCATGCAAAGTCGGGAGAGTATGTATTTCACAATTGCAAAATAGAATGAACGTCAGATTGATAGGGTAGCAGGAAACAGAAGAGTTACTTCGTTGCGTCCTGCCGATGGAGGTGCCATTTGAGCACTTGCGGCCTGAATTCCGGCGGGGATTCCAGGCGCAGCGGATCGGCAAGTAAGACATAACATAAGGCCCGTAAGGCGTAGTTGTTGGCCAACACAGAAGATCATTGAAAACACGATGCCTGCTGAGTAGTTACACAAGAATCAACAGCATTCAACAGCCTTTCAAATTTGTTGACAGGCTTGCAGTGAGTAGACTTTGAGTGCAACTGTACATTCAGCATGTTGAAGCAATGGTTGGCTTTAACACATTTGGATGTGAGGACCTCCAGACCCAGCTGCTTCGTGGCGACCCAAAAACGAACAAACCTTATGATTGTATTGTTTTGTTCTTTCCTTTTGGCTCGCCAGGCGTTCGCTTGAGCGATAAAGGAAAGGAGAGCTGAGGGACTGGTGCTTTCTTTCGAGGTCTGGCGATGTCTCATCCCAAGACGGTTCAAGGCTGGTGCAAAACGATTAATATTTTAGGACTCTTAGGACAATGTACTCATAAGGTCTCATAAGTCAAAAGACAGTTTGTGCATATGTGTTAAGGCATGGTCTGAATCACTTGACGTCAGATTCATAAGGCAATCAAGGCTGAGATATCGGCCATGATCCAGCAGCGTGATAAACAAATCAAGTCAGAATGTATCGCAATGGTCCTTGTTGATTTCGAAAAATGATCAACGTGCCAATGAGGATATATATATATCCGGATATATATATATATATATATTCGTATATAGTATTCATTAGTATTCACTATTGACTGAGTAGTTGAGGTGCATGGAACTTCTAACTAAGTAGTAAAACGTTAGATCACCGATCGCCGGCAGTTTTCTGCTCTATATACTCAACATGTTCAGCAGATTTCTCGTAATCGTCTCCAACAAAGGACAAACTGGGCAATCGGAAAGAGTTCTTGGGAGGTGAAGCCATTTGTGCTTCGGCCTGGGCGGCAATGCTCCGGAAGCTTGTTGCAGCGCTGAACGAGGGAACTGCTGGGACGCTCATTCTTAGCCGGTAGGGAGCTAGCTTTGTGATTAGCATGTTTTAGCTGCTTGTTTCAGCGATTCAACAAGTTCTTCTCCATTGCTTGTCCTATATATAGATTGTTCCCCTACCTCTTGCTTCCTGTTACCATATTCAATCAGTGAGGCCTTGAATGTGGTGAACGCTTGGAACCAGGCGATGCTTGACACCGCAAAATCGTATTTTTTGACCACTTTCCGCGGAGGTCCAGCACTCAGCCTGCAACGACCTTTCTGCAGAGCTGCAGAGTCGGGTTCTGGAGGAGTTCCAGAAGGCCGGGAGATACGGAGAGTTCTGGAGGAGGGCCACGCCTGACGTTCAACAAGATCTTCCTTAAGACTCGACTTTGGGCTTCCTCATTGACGCTCATGTTGGACCGCACGGAGATTGATTTATATATATATATATGTGCACTGAGCAAAGAGCTTCGCATCCCAAAGAGCTCGACTTTATGGCACTGGAGGCGGGGGAAGGTGTGGGATGGGTGCTAGCTAGCATGAGCTAGCATGCCACGAAAGCTAGCCGTGAGGCGCTTGAGTTGTCGTTGTCATTTACCTGAGCTGGCTTAGCAACCGGGGTCTGGGGGTGGCCAGGACCTCGGCGACGTCCACGGCGACATTAGTGTGCGTGAAATGGGCTGTTTTGCGTGGAGGTGTCCAAATCGGCTCAGCTCGAAGTTTGGGTGGCCAGGACCACGACGAAGCTTGCAGTGTGGGGGTGGCCAAAACCGCGGCGACGTGACGTTGACTGTTGCTGTCGCCGTTGACAGTTGACACCAACGCGGCAAACATGTGTCCAAGCCAGCTTGTTCAGCAGCTGGGGGTTTGGAAGCAACCACGGCTTTTGCAACGGCAAGAGCGACATGGGTGTGTGACGCTCGGTGTTTGCGGGACGCCCTTTGGCTGCACCAAGCCACGCCGTGCCGCCTCAGACAGTGCGGATACGAGCGCGTGAAGGGTTGCGCCGCGCCAGGCCGTGACGCACACGTCGTGAACGTGCGATAGGCAGCGCGTGTGAGTTAAGTCCGGAGATGCGAGAGGCAGTGAATGAGCGTTCGGCACCACTCCCTACACCTACCACTTCTTCCTTCCCCACGCCTATTGCCGACCTCCCAAACCCTTCCTTACGCTAGTTGGAGATTGACGCCCTACATGTCGCATCAACCCCAAACCTGTACCTCCCAAACAGGATTCCACCATCTTTTTCAGCGTGCAAAGTCCGCCAAAATATTCCAGAACGGATGTGACAGGTCAGTGTTCAATCCCAATTTTTTTCTGTCTTTTCAACGCTCCTTGAGACTCCTCGGTGCTTTGTGATCTTACAGTGTGACTCCCCAGCACCCCATTTCCTCCTCCCCACTGCCCACACCTGGAACATCTCTCAAATGCCAGCAACCAAACCACAGCTCCTTAGCGGAAGCGTGCTGACAGTGAGATTGCTGATAATTGTTGAAGAGCGAAACAATGACGAAAGGAACGCTGTGTCAAGTTCAAGGGTGCTTGTTTGTTCATATCACCACGGGTGGGTACTTTGTTCATCTTTGTTCCATATCTAAAGGACAGAGGTACACGGCTTTGAGAGGTGAAAGACGGAGGACCTCTTCCACGTGGCAGGCCGGAGGACTGCAAGATACAAGATATCATAAGATATGCGGATCCATTTGGTTATTCCAGATTCCAGACTCTCAGACCAATGTGTTTGTACTGATGAGCTATCTCAGCCTCAGAATCTCAGCAATGTCTCCTGATGCTTTTTGTGCATGTGTGGCAATTATTTCATGTGGACAAGCAACAGGCATTTGCCTGTGTCAGATGAGACGCTGGCAGCCAGCTTGAAGGCTCAATGGCCAGTTTGTAGTCTTTGATTTGTGGATTGATCCCCTAGCCGCCGCACGGGAGGAATGTCGCAAAGCACTCAAAGAAGAATGGAGAAGTCGGTCCGTTGGCGATGACACGGTGACAGACAAACACTGGAAGGACATGTTTGGTTTGGTGAACATCAGCTCCTGGAAAACTCGGTGATACTTTGGGTTTGTGATTTTGTATCACATCTCCGTGGATTGCAAATAAGAAGCATTCTGGTTCCCGACGTTCCCGATGCAATAAGCTCCGAAGGAGCTGAAGGTAGTCATCAAGGAGCAAGAGAAGGCAAACAGATGTAGGGCCTGATCATGCCTTTGCTCCTTTTGTATAAATTGTAGATGCCAGGCAGTTGAGCAACTCAATGCCGAGTTAGTAGAATCGCATTTGCAACAAGCAGGCCGGTAAAATACCTTCAGTAGCTGAACCTGTTCAGATTCCTTTGGGCAGGCGCCGACTGGTCAGCTTGGCTTTGTCAGGACTCGTGCCCAAAGCATGACACAGATGTTGCGGCAAGTTCAAGAGATGCAGGACAGAGCTGCAGATCCGTCTGATCCTCGATCTCAGGCACCCCTACATTGTAACATTTTGGAGTTGATGCTGTCAAACTGTGAAACAGTTGAACACTGAACTTGAACCCTCTCTCTTTTTCTATTGCAAGGCATTGATGAACGCCTTGGATTCTGACCTTCCATCGAAGCCAATCCTACGGGCAGTGCGGGAGGAGCCCCTGAATAGCCCTGCGACTTGCCCTGCGACTCGTTGACTTCTTGTGGATCTTCAGGCGCTAAGTACATCTCGCATGGCTCGGCTGAAGTGGGATGGCAACAGCGATGCTTTGAAGGCGAGATATTCGGTGGAATCTAATGACAAATCATTTGATGTTTCATTGTTTTAACGTTTGTCATATTCTTTGAGCTTCACACCGGCCTTTCTTCCTTTCCCATTAGTTAGTATGTGCATGTATGTGCAATAATCATGGCACTGCATTGACACCAGAAGTCTTGGTGCTGGCCATCTCAACCATTTCAAGGCGAAGCTGAAGCTTGCCACAGATGAGCTCGAAAGCAAGGCAGCGTACGGGCTTGTCAGATTTGTTAGCTTGCAGAGTTGCCACCTGGACCTGCAGTCTCATCTCAAGCAAACAGAGGCAGCAATGGCAGCAGCAGCAACAAAGCTCGACGGGGAGCAACTTGAAAAGCCCAGACCTCGAGCAATGTCAAGCTGCAGATTCCGATGTCCACCAATTCTGTGGTGACATGCAGTGGCTCAGGAGTCGCGAGATGGGGCATTTGCATGGTCAGGCTGCAAACTCAAAAGAACTGTTCAAATGTCGGCAAGGAAAATATACAGTTACAACAACAGCATGCAATGCAAAGGAATTCAACAGATTGCCCTGCCTGGAGGTTGAGCTGCTTCAACAGCAGGCATTTTGGCAAATGCTTGGGAAAATTGGGTCATGTTTGTATGTCTATACGTTTATAATCGTTTATATATATACACAGTATACAAACATAGTTTCCTTCTTGTTTGTCATCGATTGATGTTTAAAGTTTACAGCCGGGCGTGTCCGAAACGCCGCCGAGGCCAAGGACGCCATTGAGCGCGAAAGGCAGCTGAGAGAGCAGGCCGCCATCACGGCTCCTTTCCACTGCAACCATGTGTTCGATTTAGCGGAAGAACACAGAAAAACACAATCATAAAAACATGACAACTTCGTACTGTAAGATCGCACCATGCCATTCCATACTCTTTTGATATCTTTTGTAATCGACTCATCATCACTAGTCACTACTGTAGTTTCTTGTTGGCTTTTGTTGGATTATCACGACGAACACAAAGGTGTAGAGCTATCGTCCCTCTTTATCCAACGGTTTTTCAAGATCTTGGATGGGTGTTGAGTGCCCACAGAAGTAACTATATATAGATATAGTGAGCCCTTTTGACCATTTCAACATGTTCTTCAAAGATACAGTACAGCTTTATTTCCCGGGAGCGCTGTGATGGGTTCTTCTGGTGAAAAGACGTGAAATTTTGCATACATAGAAGTTCGCCTGTAGATTATGTTGTTTGTTTGCGATGGTTTGCATAAGCAGAAGTGCACACATATAAGTTGGCTGGTTATTTTGCATGCGCAAAACTCACACAGGTAGATGTTCCCTGTTATTTATAGATGTTATTTTGCATGCGTAGACTTCCATGTCCTTTGTTACGAAATGTTACGAAAGGGAGCCTTTAGGCGATAGCTGGAGCTGATACGGCGAAGGGAACAAGTGGTGTGTCCAGAGTGCCATTCGAAGGCACCGGAAAGATGGAAACCGTTTTACACTAGCAAAAAGACGTAAATGATATAGGCGATGCAACGGCAGTCTTGTTTAAGTGATGTAGGCGGTGCAGTGTCAGTGTTGCTGCATCAGAGAAAGCACGGAGGAGAGAATGAAAGGAAGGAGAGATGAAGTATTGCCCGACCGAAATGGTTTACTTTTGTTTGGGCTGGAGCCGCGTGAGTTTTCCAAAGAAAAGGAGAGAGGATCAGTGAAGAGAAGAGAACATGAAAAGGCAAAAGGGAGAGAAAAGAGAAGTCCTCGAGACACACATGGTTGCTTAGTTCCTTCTGAAAGTTTTGGGACATGTCGTTTGCGAGCACGTGTCTTTTCCCATCCTTTCGAGCCTTTGAAGGACGCATCGTCTGCAAAGAGTTGTTTCATGTATAATTGTTGATTAATTTGTATAACAACATAGTTATATATTCATGTGGTGTATATAATATTGTATAATAGTATATTTATATACTATATATATAGTTGAACTCCTTTGATAAGCTTATTTATGGTAGGGAAGTGGAGGTTCATTCATGGGTCTCTGACGTGTACACATGCACATTATGCATGTAGCTGTAGAAGCAAGTTCGGCCAAAACAAAACAAATACGAGAACAAGACGAACAGACGGTTTCCTATTTTTTCACATTGCTTTACACTGTGCATGCAGATATTGATCGGCCCGGTGGGTGCGTTTCACGTGGTTTTGCCACGTGTTGACCTTGCACTTTCCCGGTTTTTGCAGGAGGTTTCATGACATCACCCGGATGGCACCTTTCCTCAAAACCCCAAGTCGCTGCAGTGCCTTGCAGTTCAGGATAGGACACTGATACTTTGCAAACTCGTTCGCAGAAAGGTTTGAGCATGCGGCATCCCTTATATATGATTATATATGTGCAAGACCATAACTGTGTTTTGGTTTGCAGGGTGAATATTGCTGGAAACAGACCGACCAGATTGGGTGTGTTTCTGTTCCCGAGGTTTTGGTGTTCCTAGTTAGTGTGGGCGCAGCTTCTGATTTCGTTAGAAGACAGTGGAAGCCGCTTGGCCCTCCAAACTACAGCCAGTTTCAGCAGATATTTTCCCGTGCAGACGTTTCTTTCGCTCCTAGTATTACATACCCGGATGATTGCGCGTTAGTCAGTCTCATGATTCCTTTTACAGGCTTGACCCTGCAAAACTTGGCAGGTACTGCTGGCTGAAGAGGCCACGAGGAAAGCGCAGTACGAGCATGGCGAGGCGTCAAGCATGGCAAGCTTGTGATGCAAACATGTAAAGTCGCTTCAGTTGTTTGATGTTTCTCTTGCAGGCAAAGCGTCAGTCAAATCAGTCCATCCACGAGCTGCAAGCACAAGCACTGCCCTTGGACGGTTTCTGTTGCATGACACCTGGAGAAGTCATTTTGGCGTCGTGCTACAGTACGTGTAAGAAAGGTGTCTCTTGAGTTCTGTTGACAAGTTCAGGTTGAAGATTTGCGATCTGAAGTGCTGCACTTTCAGGCCAGCGGTACCCAGCGGTACCAGGGCGGGCAGTTGACAAAGAGAGTAACAGCTACATTTGGTCAGTGAATGCGTGCTGAGTGTGTGCGCAGCTTCAGGAGAAGAGGTCTGGTGCAGCTCGCCGAGACGCCCAACCAAAATGTGCGTGCAATGTCATGCCAGGTCCCAAGATTTCGGATTCCCAGGAGCAAGGACGCTACTAGGGGCTCCTGGCATCGCTACTAGGAGCATTCTTACTATATACTAGTAACAATAAAGCTACTTGTATGGCCACACATTAGGTTTACGTTCATGGATCGTCAAACCTCCGAGGTGAATTGATTGCCGTGCCGAAGTGCAAAACATCGTCAGACCATGGGCACATGTGCAGCATTGAAAACAATTCGCAGTCCGACGTTGGATGGGTGAGACAGTGAGGAACAGGAAGCTCAGTTATATATATATATACATAGAGAGAGAGATGCATTCCGAAACATGGTGAAAAACACCTTGAGCTCCAGCAGCTTTGAAAAAGAGAGGGTAGCAACCACAGATGACCGATCACAGCTCTTCAAGTTGAACTCGTTCTGTTTTGAATCTTCATTCGTTTCTGATGAGTACAAAGACAAGGTGTGACAACAGCTTGTGATTTCTTGAGAGCCCAAAATTTGAGTCAAGCACAACCAGCTTGTGAACGCTGTTTATTTCCAAAAAGACAACGCAGTTCGGCTGACCTGCCATGTCCAATCGTTTGCTGCATGCGCCGACGTCACTACCTTAGATGGTCCGTTTCTATGCGGCCTTGACGTGTTTGCTTCGTGTTGAACTATTGTTGGATGACAGGTGCTCGCCTAGGATTCACCAGAGTATCATTTGTGTGTGTTTCGCAGAATGCCTTTTGTTAGTGTAGGCCTTGGCCGAGCACACTCGGCAAGAGCATTGGCATTATTGCTCGGCGCCCCACAGCCTATTTGAGTGAACATGTGTTGAGGTCACGGCTGCACTCATGATATTGACACATGTATGAGCGTAAGATGATGTAAGATGTGTTTGTATTTCAATGTGATTAGCTTAGAATATTATAGGAGAATCCTGTGCCACCCTAGTGTGCCTTTTATACAATGGTGTTTCCAACAGCTTTTGTCGTTTCACACCGCCCCTCCCATTAACGTGCACTTAAAACGTGTATATTGTTTTTCGCCGCTTTTCAGAGTGTGCATTGTTTTGTGCCGTTTCGCCAGATGCATGTGCCGCCTGAAGATCTCTTTGTTGATAGAACGGATGGATTACAGTCAACAAAACGTCAAATTAAGCAGCAGAAGCAAGGTGACATAAATCAATTGTTTCAGCAGGGAAGCTGCATACCAAAACGAGGGGCTGACTATCAATGGACCAGTGTTTGCTAGGCAAGGGCATAGGCCAAGCAATATCTTTGCGTTTGGTCTAGCTCCCTTTCTTTTTGCTTGACTCTCAATAACCTTCACGAAAATCAACAACTACTACTACTACTACTACTCCTGCTACTACTCCTGCTACTACTACTACTGCTGCTGCTACTACTACTACTACTACTATGGAGCAAGAGGCACGCCCATTAAGACCTGCAAGAATTTGCTGAGACAAGGGGAAGAATAGATCAGTTATATCAGCAGCAACAGAACTAAATTAAGGGAGGAAGAATGGGAATTCAAGTCTTATCACGAGAGCTAATTGGATTAAAAGGATGTTTGTTGTTTTAGTTGCTCCTGCTTGGGCTTGGAACTGGAGATAGTTGTACCGATGCGTGAAGCTGGTATCGGACTACAAGTTGTGTTTACTGAACTTTTTGCCTGCCCAAAGTAAACAATATAGAATTGAATTCCTTTGACATAAATACGTTCAGATGTATTTTTGTAAAGACCTAATAGGGTTGAATAATGTTCCACAAAGAACATGTTTGGCAATTGTGGAGTTGTTAAAAATGGAGGGAGAAAGACCATGTGCAGAGGATAAATGGTTATACCAAAACTGATCAAATAAAGGAGGCTGTTGTTAATAGAAACAGCATGTGTAGTAGTGGAGCTCAGGAGATTATTTACACAGAACATGATTTGTGAGGGTGAGATATGAAGAAAGGACAAGACTTTTGTAGTCCCATGTTTGAAAGACATGTGGAGTGAGTTTTCTGGAGGAATAGATTGCCAATAAAGGAAACATATTGCTAAGAACAAGCCGAAAGGCACTTCTCAATGAAAAGACTTGGAATAGGAAAGACTTGGGGAATAAAGCTTCGACAGAAGCTCGTTCGAGGCGTACCTAGGAGTTTTGCTATGCTATCCCCAAATGTTTGAAAACGTTTGTAACTTTGGACTTTGGGACCGAAGATTCTCCACTCTCCGCATTCTTAGGTCCCAGTACTTAGGAGTTCTTGGTATCCCGCCAAAGACTCCTAAGTACCATAACCTCAAGCAAACATATGTC